TAATCACCAGAATGGAGGTGCGCAGACAGCGAGAGGACAATAAACAGATACGAAAAAAGAATGTCCACACCTTTATCTCCACGGTTCTGTCAGGCGTCCGTGGCTGCTCTGATCCTTCCCTGGTTCAGTCTTGTCCAAGATGGTCACTCAGGGAGCAGATGAGTGCCTTGGATTAGGAAGCACAGGATTTCTTGCTTCTGCTATAAATTCCACTGGCTGTAAGCCTCCCAACTTTCTAAATATTCCTTTCTGTGTGGTTCAGAGTTCTGGCACCATCCCCTGAGCCTGCTTGATCCGGTATTCTGGTATTCTGTGTTGTTGCTGATGGAGCTCCTCTCATTCACTTCTACCCTCTCTGCCATCTTGTTTGTTCTCCTAAGTAGACATTTGTATTAGCATATTCTTTCAGGCTAATTAGTGATAGCTAAATCATGTTCTGGAGTCCTGATGTGCTGATACAGGATAATGCATTGGATCTCAAGGTCGGTTTGAACCACCAGCCACTCCTCAGAAACCCCGTACAGGGTGGCTATGAGTTGGCACCAATTCAATGACACATACAAACAACAAAACATGTTCATGTCAGAAGAACCTCTGAAACTTGCTCTAGACCTTAACATAGCTAAAATGAATGAAAGAAATGAGGAAGCAAAAGAGCTGAACAGAAGATTCCTAAGGGCAAAGACGCAGAGTTAGAAAACCAAAAGGGATGAACACACTCAGCATTTCTCAAGCTGAAAGAACTGAAAAAAAAAAAAAGTCAAGCTTCGAGTTACCCTACTGAAGGATTCTACGGACAAAATATTGAACAATGCAGGAAGCATTGAACAATCGAAGATGGAAGGGTTGGTTACAGAGAGTCACTGTAATAAAAATAATTGTTGTTAGGTGTTTTTGAGTTAGTCCAAAGATACATCTGATGTCATCAATGATATTCCTCATCCTACCTCCTCTTCTGAATCTGGCTTGAATTTCTGGAAGCTTCCAGTTGATATACTGCTGCAATGGTTTTTGAACTACCTTCAGCAAAATTTTACTTTCATGTGATATTAATGATATTGTTTGATGATTTCTGCATTCCATTGGAAGTGGTAGATGTTAAACCATTTCAAGAGGTAGCATACAATCAAAACCAACGGTGCTGAAAAAGAAGTCAAGCTGTACTGAAGGCATTGATGAAAAACAAGCTTCCAGGAATTGACAGGATATAAATTGAAATGGTCCAACAAACTATGTAGTGCTGGAAACACTCACTTGTCTATGCCAAGAAATTTAGAAGACAACTGATTAGAAGAGATAAATATTTGTATGATTAACTATGACCTTGACTATATTCTACTTTAATTTAAAGACCATCTCAAGAACAGAGTTGATGCATTAGACACTAATGGCTGAAGAACAGAAGAGTTGTAGAATGACATCAAGAACATCTTACAGGAAGAAAGCAAAGGGTAAATAAAAAAGACTTAAAAGAAAGAAAATATCAAAATGGATGTCATATGAGACCCTGAAACTTGCTCTTGAATATAGACTAGCTAAAGAGAATGAAAGAAATGATGAAGTAAAAGAGCTGAACAGAAAATTTCGAAGGGCAGCTTGAGAAGACAAAGCTTTATAATGAAATATGCAAAGATCTGGAGTTAAAAAACCAAAAAGAAAGAACACACTCAGCATTTCTCAAGCTGAAAGAACTAAAGAAAAAAATCAAACCTCGGGTTGCCAAATTGAAGGATTCTATGGGCAAAATAGTGAATGATGCAGAACACATCAGAAGAAGATGGAATGAATACACAAAGCCATTCTACCAAAAAGAAATGGTTGCTGTTTAGCCATTTCAAGGGCTATCATATGATCAAGAATCAATGGTATTGAAAGAAGAAGAAGCCGCACTGAAGGTATTGGCAAAAAACAAGACTCAGGAATTGATGGAATACAAGTTAAAATTGTTCAACACACTGATGTAGCACTAGAGGCACTCACTCATCTAGGCCATGACATTTGGAAGACAGCTACCTGGCCAACACATTAGAAGAGATCCATATTTGTGCCCATTCCCAAGAAAAGTGACCTTCCAGAATGTGGAAATCATCAGACAATATTACTAATATTACATGCAAGTAAAATTTTGCTGCATATGATTCAAAAACCATTGTAGCCGTACATCGACAGAGTGCTGCCAAAAAGTCAAGCCAGATGCAAATAGCACATGGAATGAGGAATATCATTACTGATGTCACCTAGATCTTGGCTGAACACAGAGAACACCAGAAAGATGTTTACTTGTGCTTTGTTGACCACACAAAGGCATTTGACTGTGTGGCTCATAATAAACCCTGGATAACATGACAAACAATGGCTATTCCAGAACATTTCATGGTGCTCAGGAGGAACCTGTACATAGACTAAAGGGCAGTCATTCAACCAGAACACGCGGATACTGAAAGAGACAGACCCTCATCGAGATGGACTGACACAATGGCTGCAACAATGCACTCAAACAGCAACAATTGTGAGGATGGTACAGAATCGGGCAGTGTTTCGTTCTGCTATACGTAACAATAACACCAACTAAGTATGCTCATGGTGCCAGAATCTCAAGGTGACCTTGAACAGGCCTGTTTACTCTGAGAAAATTGCTTCAAGTTACCAAATAAAGGCACTGAATTAGGTGACATCTGAAAAGGACCTACATCTTTGCCCAGAAAATACATTTAACGGCCAGCTATGGGACCAACTAGCTAGGTTCAAGATGCTCTCACCATCTGTTGTCAAGTTGTTGTTAAGTGCCATTAAGTAAGTTTTGACCCATAGCAACCCTGCATAGCATTTCCAAGGAGCGACTGGTGAGCTTGAACTGCCAACCTTGCAGTCCAACGCATTAACCCACAGTGCCACACCAGGAATCCCTTGACTGTACTTGTGGCCAAACCACCTTATTTATGTGTCTTCCCTCCAGAACCTGACATCAAGTTTTCCTGTCTCTCTTTTTGCCTGTCCTCTCTAGCTTCTTCATTCCCACACTTCTTGGTCACCATCTCAAATCCCTGCTGCTCGGATCACTTTCCTTTCAGCTCAGACTTCCCTCACACACACTTCTTACTTATAACACCAACAATAATAATGGCTGCTATTTACTGCATGCTTTCCACTGTTCTAATCAGGCATTTCCCCCAATACTGTGTGTGCTTTTCCAAAACGTTCACACTGCTTATGATTCATCTTCATCTGGGACAGTTCACCAGCACCTCCAACTCAATGGGTCAAACGGAATTCAGAACCTTCCCACCGATCGTCTTTTGCCTGTATTCCATATTCCAGTTCATCTTACCATGGTCCTCACAGTGTCTGAAATCATTTACCTAAGACTCATCCCCAAATCTGTCAACTTCAAGACCTGCCAATTCTATCCAAGTCCTGTCAACTCCATTCTCACTGATACTATTTGTTTCTCCTGACCGTCTAGCTTCATTTAAACTTGATCATGTTGCCGCCTGCTCTTTACTGAGGATTCACTGCAAACTCTTCAGACTAGCACAGAAAGCGAAACATGATCCAGCCTCTTCCTGGTCTTGACCAGACATTCCTTAGATGCAGTAGCTGTATATTTTTCATCTCCGCGTTTAGCACCATGTCTCCATGTTTGCATTTAGCATTGAAGATAGCACTTAGGATTTAATCATAGCAGCACACATTTAATAAAGGAATGAGTCCAATACTTCTGTCATCTCTAAAGGTAATAAAGAAGACACTCTCAATGATAAGATCAGGGAAGTTGCCAAGATATTTTTAAAAATAATACTTTATTTTTTACTCTGCTAATTTATGTCTGGGGTAAATAAGGTAAATGAGACCCTGCTAGAGCTCATGGTAACCTATCACAAGCATGCCAACTTTAAAATTTTTATAATACCCTGCATCAGATAAGGATGGTATATTCTTAGGGTCTAGATGAAAGTAAAGAATTACTCACTCAAAATTAGAAGTTAAAATAATGAACTTAATATAGAACTAACCCTATTATATTTAAGATAACAAATATCCTGAAGCAATACCCAGGGATGTTAGACATTAATTATAAAGAAATCACCCAATTATACATAATTTCATGCTAATCTGAATGATGCCATTTTTCTTTTGACATACATAACTCAATAGAAACACCCCAATAATTGTGTATAAAAGTCCAAAGAAGTCAGTGCACAATGTTCTGTCTTCCTTTGATGCTATAGCTCTCCACAGCCAAGGTGAACTTTCTCATAAGAACATGTCGCTCCGATTTTCTAGTGGATCCAGGCGTATTTGCTTACGTTCTGGAACTGGATCTGCCCGATCCCCCAGTGGAGGGCCAGGCTTTGCAGGCAGCAATGCATGTGGCAGCTCTGCTGCGGGAAGCAGTTATTCCTGTGTCCTGGGAGGGCCCTTGGGCAGTACTCCTGGTGGGAGCCATGCTAGTGGTGCCCTTGGAAATGCTGCTTGTGTGGGCTTTGCTGGAAATGAAGGAGGACTTCTTTCTGGGAATGAAAAGGTGACTATGCAGAACCTCAACGACCGCCTGGCATCCTACCTGGATAGTGTGCGAGCTCTGGAGGAAGCAAATGCTGAACTGGAGCAAAAAATCAAGGGTTGGTACGAAAAGTACGGTCCTGGATCTTGCCGTGGACTGGACCATGACTATAGCAGATATCACCTAGCCATTGAGGATCTTAAAAATAAGGTGAGAAATCACAAATTTGGAATTATTCACAATATTCAAAACTAAGAATTACCTAGCCACAGATATGGGACTACAACAAGAAAAGTTTCATAACTGTTCCATGTCTTTGATACTGAACTGCATGAGTATTTTTTTGATAAATAATTATACCTATTAGTTTAAAATAAGCATTTTCATTTATAAGTTTCAATATATTTTAAATGTGACTAGTCAGCTTCTGGAGATTCATGTTCACCCAGGGGTACCTCAGAAGAAAGGCTTGACCATCTTTTTTCTTTAAAAAAGCAGCCATTGAAAAGAGTGTGGAGTATAGTTCTAGCCTGACACACATGGGGTCAGCATGAGTCATAACTGGATGGCAGTTGGGAGAGTTTTAAGTGTTCATTTTGGAGTATATTCAGAGATAAAGTATTAAATTCTAAGAGTTACATGAATGATGTGAGAAGACATCAAACCCAATCTGTAATTTTTAAATTATCTTTTAAGTATTTTGATTGTTAATTAAGGAGGAAAATTTTTATACAAAAGATGCACTGTGTAACACTCTATTTTCTAAAACAATAATTTAGAACAGCAAATTCATTTGGAATGTCCTCCCTTCTGATTTCTCCTAGATTATCACTTCCACTACTGCTAACGCTAATGTCATTCTGCAGATTGATAATGCCAGACTGGCTGCTGATGACTTCCGGCTAAAGTAGGTGGCTGAAAGGATTGTATTCTAGAAAAAGGATCCTACCTATTTAGCTTGTTAAATAAAATTTCAATTGTATCTCAAGTAGAATAAACTATAACTTAAAAGTAAAAGGAACAAGGGATTTGTGTGATTACAGTCAAGAATACTAAAAATATCTACATATTGATTGTTGTTGTTATTAAGTGCCGTCGAGTTGGTTCCGACCCATAGCGACCCTGTACAGGGTTTCCGAGGGTGTAAATCTTTACGGGAGTAGAAAGCCTCATCTTTCTCCCGCGGAGCAGCTGGTAGTTTCGAACCGCTGACCTTACGGTTCGCAGCCCGATTCGTAACCACTACGCTACCAGAGCTCCTTACATATTGATTAAAGTCTTGCATATTGATTAAAGTCTTGCCTTTCTATGCCTGCCTAAAACAGCGCTAGGTACAAAGTAGGCGCTTGGTAAATGTTCGTTGACTTATTAACTAAAGTAAAATGTTAAAATGGTATGTGTTAATTTCATTGGGCGGCACTATTAGAATGCATGGGAATGAATAAGGGCTCATCACCAGCACTTAGGGGTCCTGGTGCTAGAGGATAATGCACTGGACCACAAGGCCGGCGGTTCAAAACCACCAGCTGCTTCTGGGAAGCCCTAGACAGGGTCGCTATGACTTGATGACACTTAACGACAACAATACTGCACTTAATTGGGTAGGAAGTGGGGGACCTTTCTTTGTACATTTTTATTTTATTTGAGTTCTAACTAATTTTCTAATTTTCAGTTTAAAGCAATTGAGATTTTATTTTTCAATTCCTTGACGTAGTCTAACTCATACTAAAACTCCTATTATGCCCGGCAAGGTATGAAAATGAGCTCGCTCTTCACCAAAGCGTTGATGCCGACATCAATGGGCTCCGGCGAGTGCTGGATGAGCTGACGCTCTGCAGGACCGACCAGGAGCTGCAGTACGAATCCCTGAGTGAGGAGATGACGTATCTCAAGAAGAACCATGAGGAGGTAGGAGAGGCTTTACTTCTGGTCAAAGCACAACTCTTGTACATCTTAATGCTTGTGAGAACTTACTGCAGCAGTAATTTATGCTCACTGGAATCATTCCAGCAATGCCAGGACATATAAAGAAGCCCACCTTCTCCCATGCTCCTCTATTCCCATGCCCAAAGAAATAGAGATGAACAAAGGGCTCTGCACCCTTCCATGTTTCTTAGACTGATATGACAATCTATCCATTTGACAATAGTACATTGTTTTTGTATTAATGTAATCATCTTTCTTTAAGCCAGATTAGTTCATTCATAGGGTCTTCTCAGGGTCTCTTTTTACCAAAGACCTCTCTGACCAGAGAAGAGGTCACTATGCTTTCCACTTTAGTGCCTGGATTTATTTTAATATTGGACTTTGAGCAATAACAACATAACCATTTCACACTTAATACCAGACTGCTTCACCACCCCCACCACCGCCAATTTAAAAAAAAAAAAAAAAGATTATCTTAAAAGTAATGCCAAAAGTTTCCAAAACAATGGATGAGAAACAAAATTTTTCAGACACACTACATTTATCACAATTATACATACACACTGAGAAACGAAGTATCCTATCATTGGCTGTTTGAAAGGAAGTATCCTATCAAGTCAGTTCTGACTCATAACAACCCTGTGTAGACTTTCCAAGGAGCAGTCGGTGGGTTTGAACTGCCAACCTTACAGTTCTAACAGACCTTGTGGTCCAGTGCATGATCCTGCAGTACCATACCAGAACATCATTAGTTGGAGATTACTAAATCACCAAGTCCCCTTACTCCAAATGACAAAATTGATGAGAGATATTAAAAAGAAAAAAACGTAAAGTTCAAGAGAGACAAGGAGAAGGAAGATAATCAATAGAGCAGAGCCCTGGAATCGTCAGATAACCAGAGTAGAAGCAAGAGAGGGAGACGCAGATCCAAGAACTGTAGAGACGGTGATGTCATGCCAAGGAATGAGTATCAGGGAAGGAAGAGAAGAAATAGTAACTACAGCAGGTAAGCAAACTAGAAGAAGCATCCAGCTACCACCAGGATCACAACAAGCTCCACAGACCCTTTCAAAACATATCCATGCAAGGAGGTCCCTTTGTGCCAAGGATGGGGAAAAAAGCCACTCACATCCCAACGTCCCCTGACAGTATTATATTTTCCACACTCACCAATGACCAGTGCCTTTAGTGACAACTTCAATTTGTTGATTTCCAAACTTTGACAGCAACAAGAATTTTTCTTCAAATGGAATCGCACATAAAACCCAGAAACATAGAAATGTACTGAGTCTTTTACTTTTTGGTAGACATTGGAAAGCCACAAAAAAATGGTAAAAATTCATTTAAAAAAAAAGGTTTAATAAAGTAGAGCTAACCGACTCGAAGGCACTTAACAACAACAACAACAACCATGATAAGAATCCAACAAAAACAGTTCAGCTGCAACGGTTAACTACCTAAAGGACTTAAATCCAGAGGGTTGGTCTGCTTATTTGTCCAGAAGGCCATTCTCTGACGAGGTCAGACAGCTTAATGATTTTATCTGGGGCACATCCTAAAGAGGCCATGTTTTGTTGTTGAGTGTCATTGTGTCAGTTGTGAACCATAATGACCCTGTATAGGGTTTCTGAGGAACGGCTGGTGAGTTTGAACTGCCAACCTTGTAGTTCAAACTGATCGGGTACACCAGTGTTTTATCCCACAGCACCACACTAGGAGTTACCAAGGAGTCCTGGTGTGGTGCTGTAGGAGAGTGTACTAGACTGTAGGGTAGGTTCGAACCACAAGGTCAGCAGTTCAAACTCACCAGCCACTCCTCAGACACCTTATTTAGAGTCACTATGGGTCAGAACCAACTTGACAAGCATAGCTGGAGTGCCCTTGTTTAAATCACAGCTCTTGACAATATTAAGTAATTTAAGTGAGTTACTTTACCTCTGTGTGCCTCCACTTTCTAATCTGTAAATATACCTAATCATGCATGCACACCCACCTGCTACCAAACTGATTCTAATTCATAGCCACCCTGTAGAACAAAACAGGACTGCTCCACGGGTTTCCAAGACTATGCACCTTTATAACTTCAGAGTGTCACATCTTTCTCCTGCAGAGCCGCTGGGGAGTTCAAACCAGCTCAGTGCCCGATACTTAACCCACCAAGGCTCCTACCGCATAGAGATGGTAAAAGTTTTAAATGAGTTAGTGCAGATTAGCTGTCGTCTCTAAGATATAAGCTTAGGTGGTAAGGACATTTACTTGTCTTTCCTACCACTCAGTTTCCATCACCAGAATCTCTACCTGCCATATAGGAAAAGACTGGGTGGTTTAATCACACTCTGATCTTTGTATTTCATCATCATTTAAAAGAATAGAGAGCTGCTCTTGGAGTAACATGAGTGCTTATTAGTGTGTGTGTGTGTGTGTGTGTGTGTGTGTGTGTGCTCGCCCACATGTGTTTGTGTGTGTATGGTTAATGAACAAAGTAATTAAGTAACTACTTAAATAGATTGTTGGCATGAATATAGATAGAATAAGTTAAAATTTTTGTGTGCTGTGAATTGTACATCCAATCTAAGCCACAAACGTTGAGACATTAAAGCTATGTTTTTGAAAACACTCAGACTGCACGCAAATATAAAATGTGTCCTGGCGTCACGCTGTAAGACAAGCACTGGACAGCTAGCCACAGTTCAAACCCACCAGCTGCTCCTCAGAAACCCTATCCAGGGTCGCCATGAGTCAAAACGGACTCCATGGTACTTAACAATAACAACCACAACAAAGACACTTACTCCTGTCCCCCTCCCAGGATATGAAGGCTCTGCAGTGCGCAGCTGGGGGGAACGTGAATGTGGAGATGAACGCGGCGCCGGGAGTGGACCTCACGGTTCTACTGAACAACATGCGAGCTGAGTATGAAGACCTGGCAGAGCAGAACCGCAGGGATGCCGAGACCTGGTTCAACGAAAAGGTGAGGCCAGCCTAGACAGCCCTCTGGTGCCCTCTGGTGGGCACAGGTCCCATTTAACCTGCGTGTGCCTGGTCTTTTAGAGTGCCACCCTCCAGCAGCAGATATCTGACGATGCAGGAGCAGCCTCCACTGCCAGGAATGAGCTGACGGAAATGAAGCGCAGTCTGCAGACCCTGGAGATTGAGCTGCAGTCCCTCTTGGCAACGGTAGGCAAGAGCTTGCCTAAGAGGAAACCCTTCCCTTCTTCTTTACTACCGCTTTACCTGCAAATACGTAACTGGGTGTAGAAGAGAAAAGGTAAGGCCGAAACAGAGACACTCAGAAAGAGAGACAGATCATTTTCTTCCTCCCCGAGACCACTGATGAGTCCCTGGTTGGTGGTTCAAGTCTACACAGAGGTGCCTTGGAAGAAACGTCTGGTGGTCTACTTCAAAACACTCAGTCAGTGAAAACCCCGTGGAGCACAGTTCTACTCTGACACGCATGGGGTCGACATGTATCAGAATTAACCCAATGGCAACAGGTTAACTAGAGATCACCGGTGATGTCCTTCTGGGCCAGCGGTCAGTGGCTTAGTGCCCTTTTCATGAAAATAACCAACACACCGCATAACTACTTCCTCTTAGCCTCACAGCAAGCAGAAGCAGTGTTGGCCCACCCGGAAATCAAGGGTAGGTCCCACAGAGCAGAGAGCCAAGCCTCAAACCAGCATCTCCTACCATGGGTGAAAATACATCAAAAGTCGTATTTACTTACCATCCAGCAGTGAAAAAGAGGGCACACATCTGAATCCGGAAAGTGTAGTGTCAGCCTCTTCACCCCAAGTGTCCAGGCAGATGTCCAATCTTCACACATACCCCTCCACAGGCACCCAGATGACTTCAAAGGTTACCATGGAGATAACCCAAAACCATTCTCCCTTTCTGAGGTGTGAGCTGACAGCATCTGAAAGGAATGATTTTAAAGGTTATAGCATCCATGTCTCCCAAGGAGTCCGACTCCCTGAGGACACCAGGTTAGGACAGTTTGTGAATGCAGTGAGACCACAAGAAAGTCCCAGTGCGCTCTTACTTACTATACAATATTTAAACTGGAAACTAGTTTTTACCATTGAGTGACTCCAACTTAAGCTTTGAACCTTTATCACTACTGCCAGGTGGTAGCGGAGTGCTCCAGGAATCTGCCTTGTTCCCCACTCCCGTCTTTCATGCAATTAGAATCTTAAGGGCCCTTTCCTGCTGCTACAGCCTGAGTATGAATCCTCCCTCTCTCAGCTATTCTGAAGGAAAGAAATTCCTGAGACACCATGGTGTAGTTAGAGGGCATGCAGCTTGGGCTCAGAGAGAATCCACAGAAGCCCGCTCACCACACAATAGAGCTGCATTAGAGAATGGTGATGGCATGCTACCTCACTTCCTTTTGTCACAGGAGGAATTCTAAGCTCAGCCTTCTACAGTTTAGAACACAAATCATTTGTAAAAATCAGAGCTACCTAAATATGTAAACATTTCACATGCTTCCTGTAATATCCAGACTTCCAAGTTCATCATTTCTTATTTCCTCATCTACAACACAGCCTTAGCAGCAGAAGACTAAATTAAGATGCTGTCCCCTCTGATTTATAAGATTATTTTAAAAACAGTTGCTGTCGAGTCGATTTTGACTCATGGTGATCGTGGTGACCGACGTGTGTCAGAGCAGAACTCTCCTCCACAGGGGTTTTCAGGTGGATTCTTCAGAAATAGACCAACAAGAGACTCCTCTGGGTAACTTAAACCTCCAACCTTCCAGTAAGCAGCCAAGCGTGTTAACTGCTCACACCATCCAGGACTCTACAGGAGTATTGTTGTTGTTGTTAGGTGCCATTGAGTCGGCACCGACTCATAGCCACCCTATGCACAGCAGACCGAAACACTGCCCGATCCTGGGCCAACCTCACTACTGTTGTTGCCACACTTGAGTCCATCAATGCTGCCACCTGGCCAATCCATCTCTTTGGGGGTCTTCCTCTTTTTTTCTGACCCTCTTCCTTACCAAACATGATCTCCTTCTCCAGTGACTGGTCCCTCCTGACAATATGTCCGAAGTATGAGTTAGCAACCTTAAAAAGAGATGTGATATGAGGACACATCATCAGGGAAATTACAGATTTGAATAGCCAAGCAGACAGCACCAGGGCAGGCTGCCCTGGGCCTCTCTTCCAACTAGTTGCTTCACCTTCCCCCTAATCATCCTGTTTGCCTTCTACTCCTATGCCTGGAGAGCCAGCAGCACCCACATCATATCTAAATCACTGGTTCTCAGTCCATTCAGCCCAATGTCTGTCCTTTCTGATCAATACTACATAATTCCCCCTTTACAATTTTAGACAATATAATCAATGTTGTTTTTGCTGTTGTCAACCTGTATAGGGTTTCCCAGGAGTGGCTGGTAGTTTTGAACCACCGGCCTTGAAGATCAGCAGTCCAGTGTTTTTTCCTACCAGCACCACACCATATAAAATCACCATTTATAATCAACATAAAACCAATAGATAATATAAATTAGTAAGGACACACAATTTTTTCAATCATGAGAATATAATGTCATGTTGTCATTGTTAAGTTCCACTGAGTCGGTTCTGACTCATAGCGACCCTGTATAGGGTTTCCCAGGAGTGACAGGTGAGTTTGAACCACCAATTATATGGCTCAGAAAGACTTTTCAGTCCTGTGCTTATCCTACAATGCTACACCAGGTATATATATACACACACACATATATATATAAAGACTATAAGAGAAGTCTTTTAAAATGCAATGTACATGATATGTAAACCTATCCATCCAACTACTGTAGAGCATTTCATGAAACAGATGGAAGTTAGTGCTTTCTTTGAATAAATACGTTTTATTTTAAACTCTAAGATCTGGAGTCACTCTACACAAGAAGTAAAGAAAGATGAAAGAGTGGAGTGTAGGTGGACACAAAGATAATAATCAATGTCAAGAGAAGTAATAACTACCCAGACATATTTCTATATGATAAGGGAAAGAGGAAAATTGCCTTAATTGAAGTAGGGATAAACAACATGTTAAGACAAATTACAGACTATGGAAGCAGAAATGAGGAAGTTTAATACTCATAAGAGTAGTTTCAAATAATGACCGGGCACCGTCTAATGAGCTGGAGTAATGACAAAGTGTCACAGGGAGTCTGTCTCGTGTCTTGAAATCCTACCCATGTTAAGATATTCATTCAGTCTCAAGTGCTTAATTAAAAAGGTCTTTGGTGGATGGCAGAAAACTGAGAATGGATCAGAAAAAAAACAACAGCACAAAAGGCTTTGGAAGGTGATGAGTATCCCCTCTGGACAGTAGAAAGGACTGAAAAACAACAGGCAACCTAAAATACACAAAAATCCAATAATATGAAAAATCCAATAACATTACCTAAATATCATAATTATCTAGTGGTTGTTGTTGTTAAGTGCCTTCGAGTCAGTTCCAATCCATAGCAACCCTCTACAGGGTTTCCAAGGAGAAACTGGTGAGCTTGAACCAGTGACCTTGTGGTTCAAACCAACTTTGCAGTTTAGCACATTCAAAGCCCTCAAGAAAAGGGCCACATATCCCACTTGCCCAGTCCAAGTCAGGACCTCCAGCGTGCCTGGATCCCACCTAGTAAATGCCAGTCATGTCCTCTCCTCTACACACTTGATTGTGACAAGACCCACAAATATCCACAGCTCACCTAAGGAGAAGTGTTGCCCCTCTGTGAGAAACATGGGTCCACCTATCCTTAAAGGCATTTCATCCTTCACTTTGGCACCTTCTGCATCCACAGAAACATTCCCTGGAGTGCTCCTTGACTGAGACCGAAGGCAACTACTGCTCCCAGCTCGCCCAGATCCAAGCTCAGATCGGAGCCCTGGAAGAGCAGCTACATCAGGTCAGAACCGAGACCGAGGGCCAGAAACTCGAGTACGAGCAGCTCCTCGACATCAAGGTCCATCTGGAGAAGGAGATCGAGACCTACTGCCGCCTCATAGATGGAGATGGAAAGTAAGTAAAACCATGTGAAAATCCAACTTTACCTGCTGTAGTCCACAACTGTAGGCTCCCATCCACTCTCTACACCTCCAAGCCTTTTCTTTTTTTTTAACCCATTGCAGAAAAGCAAGTCTATTTTATTGGGCCTCTGTTGGCATCTCTTCAACATATTCTGCATCACAGTATCTTCCTCACCTGCCCTGGGCAGCCACTGTAGTATCTACAGAAGCCCCAACTTGTCCATGTTCATTCTTGTGAATTTCGAGATCCTTCCCCAAAACTTTATCCTCCATTCTCTTCATATTTATTCATGATTCAACGAATATTTGTTAAGTTAGAATAACAAGAAATATAATTTTTTTTTTTTTGTAACAGTTCATGTTCCAAATTCAAGAGCTTTGGAGCAGGAAATACAGGGAATACATCTAAAGGTAATAAAATCTATTTCTCTTGCATAAAATATTTTTATATTAATGACAATCATGTTCTATAGGAACAGTCTATAAGAAATTTTAACTAAAGTGCGCTTAACTTAACCTAATATTTTATATGACTAAACTATTATTATAGCTATTATTTTTAATTATAGTTACGCTTTCACCAATATATATATATATAATTATATTGCCACCAGAAATGGAATTCTTTGCCATATAATCTTTCAAGTTAAGTATGTCTGTTCACATAAGTTTTATTTCTAGATTTACCCAAAACCACACTAGTAAAGACGGTGGTTGAAGAGATAGATCAACGTGGCAAAGTTCTTTCATCGAGAGTTCATTCTATTGAAGAAAAGACATCCAAAATGACCAATGGCAAGACAGAGCAAAAAAGTCCTTTCTAGGGGTCTTTCTAGTGGGGGAAAAAAATAGGGGAAGGGTCTTGTACAGCTGCAAGATTACAAGCATCAAGTAGGGTAAAAACACTTTCTACTCCTAAAGATAAATTAGTGAGCAAAAAGTGTCTGTTTTCCTAGTTAAATTTCTAAGATGCTGAGTGTTTGTTTTCAAACAAATAAAGTTGATGCTCATTCGTTTCCATTCATTTATGATCAAATAAATCATGCTTTGTAATTTTTCTATATCTAAATAAAAGGAGCCCTGGTGACACAATGGTTAAGCACTCAATTGCTAATCAGAAGGTTGGCAATTCAAACCCAGCATCTCTTTAGGAGGAAAAGACCTGATGCTCTGCTTCTGTAAAGACTGCATGCTTATGACTGAAAGATACATGAACGGATGTTTGCAATCATTCGCCATTAGAAGGTATCATCTCACCCAGCATAATAGCCAAGTCCAAAAATAAACAGAAAACAACAAATGCTGGTGAGGGTGTGGAGAGACTGGAACCTTCATACACTGCAGGTAGGACTGCAAAATAGTTCAATCACTGTGGGAAAACAGTATGGCGCTTCCTTAAAAAGTTGTATATAGAAATACTATAGAATCCGGCAGTCCATACCTTAGAGAAATAAGAACCATGACATAAAGAGATGTATTCACATTCATGTTCACTACAACCTATTCATAATAGCAAAAAGAGGGAAACAACCTAAGCGCCCACCAACAGATGAATGGATAGACAAAGTGTGGTACATACACACAATGAAGTTCTATGCATAGTTAAAGAGTAACAATGAATTTGTGAAACTTCAGAACATGGATGAACCTAGAGGATATTATGCTGAGTGAAATTAGTCTATCACAAAAAGGCAAATACCAATGCTGTAAAAAGTCCAGAAAAGGTTTACACCACAGAAAGACTCACTCTTCGAAGGGGTGAGAGGGAAAGGAAAAGTAAATCACTAACTAGAGGATAGAGACAGGGAAAGGCAAAATACAATAAGGAGGGAGGGGGCCGTCAGCACAAATGATCAAGCCACAGGAAGATGCTGGGAGGAGCACAAGAGTCAAAGGTATAAAGGTAACTATGATTACATACATACTCCTACAATAACATTAATAGCAATAATCGACAAATGGATACATACATAAACATGCAAGGCGAACAGATGTAGGAAGACAAATGGGACTACATCCATGAATGTATAGGATAAGCACCAGACTGCAAACCACAAAGTCGGCAGTTCAAGCCCACCAGCAACTCCATGGGAGTGAGATGAGCCTTTCTGTTCCTGCAAAGATTTACATCCTCGGAATGTTGCTATGAGTAGAAACTGATTCAATGACTTAACAACAAAGAGTGGATAAATAGATAGACATGTAAGCTGAGCAGGTGTGGGAAGGTGAACCTACGTTGGACAGATGATATTTCTACATATGTATTTATATGTGCTGCAAATGTGTCCAGGAATACAGTAGTGCATATTGGAGTCCTGGTATAGAACTGTGAGATTAGAACTGGACTGCTAACCACAATATCATTTGTTCAAACCCACCAACTGCTCCTCGGAAATCCTATACAGGGTCCATATGAGTGGGACCGTTCAACTCGATGACACTAAACAACAGCAACAACATAGAGGCAGTGACGAAACTTCTTAGCCAAACACCTTGAGGAATGAGTCACTGGGCCTGGAGGCTCAAGATTATAGTCACAGGAAACATCAAGGTCAGCTGGTATAACATAGTCCACAAACATCTTACTTGGGTGAGTAGCTTGTTGTGGTTGTTGTTGAGTGCCGTGGAGTCAGTTTCAACTCATTTAGACCCCATATGGAGTTTCCTAGGAGTGGCTGGTGGGTTTGAAACACCAACATTATGGTTAGCAGTCTAGTGCTTATTTATACTGTCTCTCCAGAAATCCAGTAGGGTCTTAAAAACATACAGCCATCAAAGTGAAACTATTGGTCTTTCCCTATCCAGAGCAATGAAACGTGAAGAAAATCAATGGCATGGGAAAACAATTAGTCCAAGGGACACTGATGAACCACATGATCCTAAACTCCATGACTCTGAGATCAGAGTTAGATGATGTCTGGCTACTACTGCTGACTGAGCTGAAAGGGATCTCAGTAGGAGATCCTCCATAGAACGGGAAAAAAACATGAAACAAAACTCAAAATAATAAACATGACCAGGCTAACTGGTCTGATAGAGACTGGTGGGACCCCTGAGACTGACCCTTAGTCACCTTTCAAACCTGGAACTGAACTCACTCTTATGGCCCAACTCTCAACCAAACAGCATACAGGCCTGTAAGATGAACAATAACACCAGGGAGGTATGCACTCTTTAGAACAATCTAGCATACAAGGTAAACAAGGCAACAGATATCCAATGGTAACACTCAGAAGGCAGGATGGGATAGGGAAGGAGGATGAAGGGAAATGAAACACAGGAAGGAAATGACAAGAGTGCTGCTACATTGGGAGGATTGTAATCTGGCCAGGGCCATAATTAATTAAGGAATTAAAATAAATAAATTGAGACATATTAATTGAGGAATTAATATAAATAAATGAGACATGGGGAAACCTGTGCATGAAGAATTCATTGTCTTTGCAAAGCAACAATGAAATACTTTCTTTTCTTTTTCTTTCTTTCTTTCTTTCTCTCTTTGGATGGCAGAGCCACAAAGATTTGTTTTATTATTTTTATGCACAGACCCCTAGTTGAAATTTTTCTCTTGTTAAAACATTCTCTGAGTTATTCATGATTTTATTAGTATCCCTTTTACTTTAGATTTTTGACTCTCCTACACTATAGTATATTTTCATTAAAAGTTAGAAGCCACACATTAGCTACATTTTATTCTACTTGCAATCTTAGGTAGTTTTAATACTTATATTAACAATATTCTTAAGACCGCTAGGAGACAGGACTTGTCAATTGAATTACTGCCAGCTTAGGTTTAGTGATTGTAAACATTCTTCCTTGTAGCCTTAGTTTAAGGCAATAAAGAATCCTAAACGTGAATAGCCATAAATAAGGGCTGTGGGTACAAGAATTTCTAAAAACAATTAGATAAAGGCTATGGGTATATACAGATACTAAATAAAAAGTCTGACTTAGACGTTCTTAAATTAATGATCAGTAAATTAGAGAAGTTGTTTTTCATAACCTCAGTTTCCCTGATAAGTGATGTTTTTGTAGGCTATAAACAGATAGAGTATGGAAGAAGTTAATGGAGAGTTAATTGCACCTAACAACTAAAATTCCCGTAAAGATTTACACCCTCGGAAACCCTGTACAGGGTCGCTATGGCTCGGAACCGACTCAACGGCACTTAACAACAACAACAACAACAACAACAACAACAACAACTAAAATTAACAAGATTTAACAGACAAAGGTTAAGAAACTGTGAAGGTTAACTTGTTTCCCATAGAAAAGAATAGATTTATGTATGAACAAATGTTTAACTAAAAGGTTTCAAGGCGCCTGAATGTCTCCTATGCCTTGAGATAATGTTTTTGCTGTAACTTCTCATCCCTGTTGTAAATTTAAGAATTGTAAACCATAAGGCATGTGCCTCAAGATAGATTGTACCTTAATGTCATTGATTACTATGAAAGCAATGTTTTCTGTAATGGTATATAAGGGGGTTGTAAGATAGAACGAACGGAAAACAGAGAACAAAGAAGAAGGAGGTAAAGAAGGGAAGAAGTAGAAGGGATGAAGAGAAGGAAGAAGAGAAGATGGGAAGTAGAAGAATGGGTGGAAGAAGAATTAGAGGCAAGAAGTAGAAGTAAGAGTAAGTAGAGGAAAATAGAACGAGACAAGAATGGAGAGAATGGAAGCTAGTAAAGGGAGCAGGAGGGGAGCAGGAGAGGAGAGAAGGGAAGCAGGAGCCAGGGGAGGGGAGAAAGGAAACAGAAGAAATGAACAGGAGAGCAGGGGAGTAAAGAATGAGCAGGACAGTAAAGAATGAGAGAAGTAGAGTATTAGAGTAGCCATTGTTGTTGTTATTGTTAAGTGCCGTCGAGTCGGTTCCGACCCATAGTGACCCTGAACAGGGTTTCCGAGGGTGTAAATCTTTATAGGAGTAGAAAGCCTCATCTTTCTCCCGCGGAGCAGCTGGTAGTTTCGAACCGCTGACCTTAAGGTTCTCAGCCCGAGTTGTAACCACTACGCTACCAGCGCTCCTTAGAGTAGCCATAGAAATAATAATAATAAAGCATGTAATGAGAAGATTTTGAATTTATTATGGTCCATGACTCCATAATCCGCCGACGCCGCATCCGCTTTCGGAAAAACCCTGGAATAAATCTGCTGGGGCTGGCTCCCGGCAGTAATCAATGTCACAAAATGTGTGTGAATTGCTCAATGGAAAACCAAATTCACTCTGTAAATTTTCACCCAGTTCACACACATAAACACACACACACACATGGATTACAGCACTGGAAACTTTTGGGGGACAAATCTACTCGGTCCTATAGAGTGCCTCCAACTGCATGCAACAACAAATTCACTCCAAGACATTTATGGACTACATTTTAATTGCTTTTAACTCTGATTTCAACAATAGTCAATTCCACATGGAATATAATGGCACTTGAACATTAAACATTCCCTAGACATCTCCTTTAAATTATACCATGTCCTGGTGTGGCACTGTAGGGTAAATATTGGACTGCTAACTGCGAGGTCAAGGAGCTCTGGTAGTGTAGTGGTTACGAATCAGGCTGCTAACCTTAAGGTCAGCAGTTCAAAACTACCAGCTGTTCCGCGGGAGAAAGATGAGGCTTTCTACTCCCGTAAAGATTTACAGCCTCGGAAACCCTGTACAGGATCGCTATGAGTCGGAATCTACTCCACAGCACATAGCAACAACAACAATTGCGAGGTCAGCAGTTCAACCTCACCAGCTACTCCTCAGAAACTCTATTCAGGGCCACTATGAGTCAACAGCACTTAACAACAACAACAGCAATAAGGC